GTTTTCATGTCATTGTGGTTGGGAAAGATGCTTAATATGATTTTAATCTTATTGAATTTACTGAGGTTTGTTTTGTGATATAACATGTAATCTATCTTGGAGAACGTTCTACGTGCACTTGAAAGAAATGTGTAGCCTTGGCCGGTTTTGCTCAGCGGTTAGAGCGTCAGCCTGCAGTCTGGAGAGACCTGGGTTCATTTCCCACTAAGGGCACATACCCCGGTTGCAGTTTGTCCCTGGCCCTGCTTGGGTCGTGTGGGTAGCAACCACTCGATGTGTCCCTTTCATGTCGATGTTTTTTTTTTCTCTCTCTCTCCCTCCTACTCTATCTGAACAAAATATCGAAAAATGTCCTCGGGTGAGGATAAAAAAAATGTGTATTCTGCAGCTTTTGGATGAAATGATCTATAAAATGTCTATTAAGTCAGTCTTGTCCAGTGTGATATTGAAAGCCAATATTCCTCCTTAATTTTCTCTCTGGATGAGTTGTCCATTGATGTGAATGTGGTATTAAAATCCCTTACTGTACACCCAGCCATTGTGGCTCAGTGGATGGAGCATCATCCCATGGACTAAGAAGGTCTCAGTTCGATTCTGGTCAGGACACATGTATGGGTTGTGGACTCGATCCCCAGTAGGGAGTGTGCAGGAGGCAGCTGATTGATGTTTCTCTCTCACATCGATGTTTCTATCTCTAAAAAAATCAATAAAAACATGTTAAAAAATAAAATCCCCTACTGTTGTATTACTGTGGATTTCTCCTATTTATATCCATTAAAAATTGCTTTATGCCCCTGGCCAGTTTGGTCTATTGTGTCTGATATGTGTATTGCTAGTCCAGTTTTTTTGTTTGTTTGTTTCTATTTGCATGGAATTTTTTTTATCCCTTCACTTTGAGTCCCTATGTGTCTTTTTTTTGTTGTCAATCCTCACCTGAGGACATTTTTACATTTATTTCTAGACAGAGTGGAAGGGAGGGAGGGAGGGAGAAGGAGAGAGAGAGAGACATTGATATGAGAGAGACACATTGATTGGCTGCCTCCTGCACAACCCCAGCCAGGGCCAGGGATTGAACTTGCAACCCACAATCATGCCCTTGACCAGAAATCTACCCATGATCCTTCAGTCCACAGGCTGATGCTCCAACTGCTGAGCCAAACCAGCCAGGGCTAGCTGTCTTTTGATTTGAAGTGAGTGTCTTATAAGCAGTACATAGATGAGTCCATTCAGCCACTCTATATCTTTTTATTGGAGCATTTAATCTATTTACTTTTAATGTAATTTTTGAAAAGTATTTACTTATTGCCATTTTGTTCATTGTTTTTAGGTTGTTTCTATAGTTCTCTCCTGCTGTTTTCTTCTCTTGTGGTTTGCTGGTTTTCTTTAGCGTTTTATTTGGGTTTGTTTCTCTTTATTTATTCTTTGTATATTTTTGTAGGGTTTGGTTTATAGTTACCATAAGGTTTATGCATATCATTCTATATCTATAGCAGTCTGTTTTAAGCTGATAGGTATTAAGTTTGAATATATTCTATAAGGACATTTTTACTCCCCCCACACACTTTATAGTTTTGATATCATGTTGTAGATCTTCTTGTGTATCTAACTACTTATTGTAGTTGGGTACTTTTTTTGAACTTGTAGTAGGTTTTTTGTTTTTTTTTTTATCCTCACCCGAGGACATTTTTCCATTTTTTGTTCAGATAGAGCGGGAGGGAGAGAGAGGAAGAGAGAGAGAGAGAGAGAGAGAAACATTGACATGAAAGGGACACATCGAGTGGCTGCTACTCGCACGACCAACCAGGGTCGGGGACAAACTGCAACCGAGGTACGTGCCCTTAGCGGGAACCGAACCCGGGTCTCTCTGGATCGCAGGCCGACGCTCCAACCGCTGAGCCAAACCGGCCAGGGCTCTTATTTTCTTATTTCTGGTTATGACCTATCTTCTCTCCTTAAAGAAGACCCCTTAACATTTTTTGTAAAACTGGTTTAAGGGTAATAAACGCCTTTTGTTATCTCTCTCTCAATTCTGAAACACAGCTTTGCTCAATAATAAGTCATTCTAGGTTGTAGGTTTCTTTCTCTCAGCACTTAAAAATGTTTTGCCATGCCCTGGCTGGCATGCTCAGTGGTTAGAGCATCGGCCTGCACACCTGAGGGTCACGGGTTTGATTCTCAGTCAAGGGCATCAAAGGTTCAATCAAGGGTTAGCAGGTTCAATCCCCAGCCCTGGTCGGGATGTATGTGGATTCAACCAATTGATGTGTCTCTTTCACATTAATGTTTCTCTCTCTCCTCTCTTTCTCGCCCTCCTTACCCCGTCCTTTTCACTTTCTCTGAAAATCAAAGGAAAAAAATATCCTTTGGTGAGAATTAACTGCAACAACAAAAAGTTAAAAGATAAATGTCCTGCCACTCTGTTTGGCCTATAATATTGCTGCTGAGAAATCAGCTGATAACCTTATGGGATGTCCTTTATATGTAACTCATTGTTTTCCTATTACTTCCTTCAAGATTGTCTGTCTTTTAACTTTTGCCATTTTAACTACAATATGTCCTGATGTGGGTCTCTTTGTGTTCATTTTGTTCAGAACTCTGCTTCCTGTTTTTTTTCCCCCAGATTAGGAAAGTTTTTCGTCATTATTTCTTTTCTGTTTGTTTATCCTACCTGAGGGTATTTTTTTCCATTGATTTTTTTAGAGAGGGTGGAAGGGAGGGAGGGATGGGGGGAGAGAAAGAGAGAGAAACATTGATGTGAGAGAGATAACATCAGTCAGTTGCCTCCCAAATGAACCTGCCTGTGCCAGGATTGAACCTGTGACCTTTTGGTGTTTGAGCTGACACTCTAACCACTGAGCCACACTAGCCAGGGTTTAGCCATCATTTCTTTAAAGTTCCTGTTACTTTCTTTCTTCTCCTTCTGGGATCTCTATAGTGTGAATGAGTGCTTGATGTTATCCCAGAATTCCCTTAAACTATCCTTTTTATTTTATATACTTTTTTTTCCCCTGCTGTTCTGATTGGCTGATTTCCACTAGTTTGTTTTCCAGGTTGCTGATTCTGTGTTAGCAAATCAGATTTTTATTCTTTCTATTGTGTTTTTCATTTTGGCATTGTATTCTTCAGGTTTACTTGGCTCTTTCTCATACTTTCTCTTTGTTGAAGTTTTTCCTTAGTTCCTCTATTCCACTCAAGTTTGGTGATTGTCTTTATGACCATTTCTTTACTTTTTTTTTTTTATCCTCACCCGAGGACATTTTTCCATTTTTTGTTGAGATAGAGCGGGAGGGAGAGAGAGGAAGAGAGAGAGAGAGAGAAACATCGATGTGAAGGGACACATCGAGTGGCTGCCACCCTCACGACCAACCAGGGCCGGGGACAAACCGCAACCGAGGCACGTGCCCTTAGCGGGAACCGAACCCGGGTCTCTCTGTACCGCAGGCCGACGCTCCAACCGCTGAGCCAAACCGGCCAGGGCTCTTTACATTTTTAATCAAATTACTTATCTCTGTTTCCTTAGGGTTTCTTTCCTGAAGTTTTTTTTATGTTTCTTCATTTCAAAGATATTCTGTCTTTTCATTTTGTTTGACTTTCTATATTTGTTTATATGAATTAGAGAAAATAGCTCTCTCCTAGTCATGAAAAAGTGGTCTGATTTAGAAGCGGCCTCTGTATAGGTTTCAGGTGCTGGGTGGTTTTGGGAAGTCACTAGGTGTCAGGGCACTGGCCCACCGAGCCACAGTGGCTTCAAGTTGAGAGGCCAGTTGGGTGTGGTGATGTCCTATTGTCCCTTTGTTCAGAGGCAAAAGGCTTTGGGCAGTGTAGTTGGGAACCAGTGTGGTGGTAATTCCCTTGGCCCAATGGAGGTGGAGGGGATGTGCACAATTGTGCTCAAGGCTCCTCTGCCCAAAGGGCTCCTATGGCTTCCTGCCTTCTCTGTTCATCTCTTTTTTGTTGTTGTCAGAAGCTGTTCATTCAGTCCTCAGTTGTCTCACAGGAATAACTATTGTCTGTGTACCAGGTATATTTGAGTTTGGAATGGGAGAGGGCAAGTTCTGCACCACCCCATCTCAGACCCACTGTGGAAATGTTTTTCTTTGCCCTGGCCAGTTGGGCTCAGTGGTTGGAGTGCCGGCCCACGGACCAAAGGGTTGTGGGTTTGATTCCCGGTCAAGGGCATGTACCTGGGTTGCAGGTTCAATCCTGGCCCTGATCAGGTCTTTCAAGAGGCAACTGATTGATGTGATGTGTTTCTCTCACATCTATGTTTCTCTCTCTCCCCCCCTCCCTTCCTCCCCTCTACTCTATCTAAAAATCAATGGAAAAATATCCTTGGGTGAGGATTAACAAAAAAAAAAAAGAAAAAGAAAAGTTTTTCTTCTGCATTAGCCTGTGTAGCTGCTGAGCACTTGGACTGCATATTTAATTGAAATTTAAACTAAATGACTGTGTGGCTTGTGACTGTGGAGTTGGACAACCAGTCATAGGTGTAGTGGAGCCATGCTCAGAGGGAAGGCAGTAGCCGTCTCCAGCTAGTAACACAACTTACGCATTGGGAAACTAGGGGAAACCCAATGAAGGTGGTCAGGGGGAAATACAAAGACCATGAAAGAGAAGAAGAATAGCAGAAAACCAACAAACCTGAAAGTGGGTCCTCTGAAAAGTTAGCAGTATTTGAAAACGTCTTGCAGCTCGGTTATCTGGAAAGGGATCCCTTTTTAGCTGCCCTGAAATTGTGCATATTCATATCCACAAAACCAAAAAGTATTAACACCCCCCTCCCCCCCGGTACCTAAGCTTCCTTTGTGATCCAGCCATGATTTTACCACCATGCCAGCATTTCTGCTACACACAGAAACGTCAGATGGGCTGTCTCTCTGCTGAGTTCACCATTCCTGACTAGTAGCCCTTTCCAGCCTGATTCTGTGACTACAGTGAGGGGTCCCAGGGATTGGCAGTCTTGATCATCCCAGACCCTCATCCTGGCTTGGTCTCCCCAGGGCTCCTTCAAAGAGCTGGTTTACGTATTCTTCATGATGAGAGATGCCGGCCTTGCGCCTGACCTGCTGTCCTATGCAGCTGCCCTGCAGTGTATGGGGCGGCTGAACCAGGATGCCAGCACCATCAAAAGGTAGGTGGATGTCAGGGTGGTCCTACCATGAACACAGTGTTGTGTTGGGCCTAGGAGGGTGGCTTGGCCTGTGCTGAGGGCTGGGACTTCCTGTAGGACCTGATAGCCTCCTGATGCTGAGATCTCTAGGATGTTCAGGGGTGGCTCTGTGAGTTGGAGATTCAGTACCCACCATGTATTCCCCACAGGTGTCTGAAGCAGATGGCCCAGGATGGACTGCAGCTGCAGGACTTCTTCACGAGCTTGCCACTGTGCAAGGAGGACCGGGCTGCACTCCTGAGGGCCGTGCACAAAGCTGAGCCCACCTTCATACCTCTGCAGCCGCCCCTGCCCTCATGTCAGGTCAATACCTCCCCATTGCTCAGGGAGATCTATGACAAGGTGAGCCTCAGCCTGCGGCCTGGTACCTGCAGGTGGGGTCCTGTCACGTGTGAACCTTGGTCATCCTATTCCCTGTGGGGGCACCAGGAGCCTCAGCCTTCTCTTCATTTCTCCTCACTGAGCTGCCTGCATCTTGGAGACTCCCTCCCTGCTTCTCAGAGGTTGAACAACTAAGAATTGGCTAGCTCCTGGCCCCCAGCCGGGCCATTACCCTAAGGGTTGAAGCTGGAAGGTGCCAGAAGGAGGAAAAGTCAGCTACATGTACTCTGGCACCACAGAGGTCGCTGTCCCACTCGAGACTCAGCTGTAGGCTGAGCACAGGACTGGTAGCAGAGCTGGGTATAACTGTCCTAAGAGGTGTCAGCCTAAAGCAGCAGCAGCAAGGCGTCTGGCAAGACCCCAGCACCACTTCCCAGGAGAGGATAGTGCTGAGGGAGTCACCCAGGTGCCTTGGGTTTTTGTTTGTTTTTATTGGGAATCCACCAACCATATAGTTCACCTTTTAAAGTGTAATTCAGTATTTAAAAAAAATTTTAGTAGCCCTGGCCGGTTTGACTCAGCGGTTAGAATGTCGGCCTGCGGTCCAGAGAGACCCGGGTTCGGTTCTTGATAAGGGCACGTACCTCGGTTGCAGTTTGTCCCCGGCCCTGGTTGGGTCGTGCGGGTGGCAGCCACTCGATGTGTCCCTTTCACGTCGATGTTTCTCTCTCCCTCTTTCTCTTCCTTTCTCTCCCTCCCTCTCCCTCCTACTCTATCTGAACAAAAAATGGAAAAATGTCCTCGGGTGAGGATAAAAAAATTTTTTTTTTAGTAGGTTTACTTCTAATTTTAGAAGTTTCAATCACCCCAAAAAGAAATCCTAGCCCCCGGCAACTACTAACCCACTTCCTCTCCCCTGTGGATTTGCCTGTTCTGGACATTTCACATAAATGGAATCACACACTGTGTGGTCTTTTGTGTCTGGCTTCTCTCACTGAGCATCATGTGTTCAAGGTCCATCCATGTTGAGAATGTCAGTGCTTCACGCCTTCCCGTGGCTGAGTGATACAGGGTGGGGCAAAAGTAAGTTGGTTTACAGTTGTTTTTATGGAAAATAATATAATAATACGTAAGAATACAAGAATGAAAATCTGTGTTTTGTGTACTCACAACTATAAACCTGCTTTCCCCCCACCCTGTATTCTAGTGTATGGATGAACACACTGTATTTATCCATTCATTAGCTGATGGACACTTGGGTCATGTGCACTTTTTGGCTGTTGTGAATCATGCTGCTGTGGGTGTGCATATACAAGTATTTGTCTAGATCTATGTTTTTTATCCTCTCAGTGTGTTGGGTTTTGCTATTTTTATTTCATTTTTAAATCTTCACCCGAGGATACTTTTCCATTTATCTTCAGATAGAAGGGGAGGGAGGGAGGGAGAAGAGAGAGAGAGAGAGAGAGAGAGAGAGAGAGAAACACCAATGTGAGAGAGACTCATCAGTTGGTTGCCTCCCACACAATCTGGACCAGGGCCAGGTACTGAACCAAAACCAAGGTACATGCCCTTGACTGGAATTGAACCTGTGCTGTTCAGTCCACGGGCCAACGCTCTAACTGCTGAGCCAGACCAGCTAGGGCAGAGTTTTCTATTTTTAATTTATCTGTTTAGGGGTGGGTCATACATTTTAGGCAGTTCCAAGTTTAAAATGCAAAAAGCAATGTTCAGGGTCTTGAACTGTCTTCCTGGGCTGTCCAGCGCCCAGCCCAATGAGGCTGGGCAAATACAGACCTTTTTGTTTTTAAACCAGTGTAGCTATTATTCACACTGTTGTGTACCAGCCTTTTCCTTGTAATGTGCAGGATGGATGATTTTCAGGAGATTTGGAAAAATGGATGTGATTTTGCAAGGGTTGGGGTTCTGAGCAGCAGAGTGGGCAGCTGCTCTTCTCTACTTTGGGTGTGGACGGGTTTTGCCTATGAGAGATGTAGGTCTCAGGGCAGGCACCTGTCCCCACTGGCAGAACCACCCCGTGTCCTACCCAAGGCAGCACCTGCCCTTGAAGACACTGAAGGACCTGTTCCAGCAGCAGCTCAGTGTGGAGATGGCCACCACTGTCACTGTGGACTCTGTGGAGAAGGCCCCGTTGCTGACCAGTGAAGTCCTGCAAGCGGTAAGGGTCCCGGCTGAGCTCAGGTCTCCACTCAGCTGAACTGGGTGTCCCCTGGTCTGAGCATGCTGCCTGCTGTGCCACAGCCCCTTCTCCCCACCCTGCAGCTGCCTTCCTTCCCTTTCACTAAGCTGGGTCACCCTGTGCCCTTCCACTGCTGGAGAAGAGTGCTCAGCAGCCACTTGGTTCACCTTGGCGGCACCACCTCCTGGTAGACTCCTTCTGGGGACCTGTGAGCACTGGGCCCACAGAGCACTGTGGTGACCCTGCATCTGTACTCCACCCCCACAGCGAAAGACCCTGAAGGAGCTACGTGCCAGGTGGGAGGCGGAGCTGTGCCTGGCGCTGCGACAGACCAAGGCCAGAGAGGCCCATGCTGCTCGTGAGGGCCGCCCCTCGCTCTTCCCCTACCTGTGCCTGCTCAGCGAGGCGGAGTATGTGCAGCTGCTGCTGCAGGTGGGCAGTGGACATGGGGGGATGGGGTCGGGCCCATGTGTGTGCAGGGGTGAGAAATGGGTGTGGGTAGGGTGTGGGTAGAGTGTTGGCACCTGTGGGGCAAGGGGCTCACTGCACCACCCCCAGACCTTGCAGGTGCTGTCCCCGCAGGGAGAGTCTCTCCTCTCCCTGGCACAACAGCTGGGCATGCGCATCTTCAACCGGCACGTGGTGCAGAGGAAGCAGCTCACTGAGGAGGTGCAGGCACTGCAGTGGCGCTATTTCAAGTACCTACACCTGCTGGCATCTGACACAGAGGTAAGGCGGAATGAGGTGCTTCTCCCAAGCCTGGGATCTGAGGGTTCCTCGGGGCTAGGGAGCCTGGGTGAGTTTCCAGGTAGGGAAACTGAGGCCCCCAGAGGAAGTCACATCCCTACTCCCCTCCTTTCCACCCTGGGGCAGTTGGATATATCCCCAGGCCCTGCCACTTCCCAGCTGCCCCTCAGCTTGTTTCCTCATTTGTAACTTTCCACCTGTAGGGGTGGCTGGGAGTTTACAGCTCTGCACCCAGACCCCCAGCCTTCTGACCCATGATGCTACCCACAGGTGGCGGTGTCCTGCCTGCCACGGCAGCATTGGGAGGCACTGGGGGCGCCTGAGGTCCCTCATGAGCAGCCCTGGCCCTTGACTGTGGTGGTGCAGCTGGGAAAACAGCTGGCTGAGGTGCTGGTGCAGACAGTGAAGATGCCCAGCCACCTGGCCCAGCGCCAGGGCACCCGCAAGCTCATCCCTGTGCTCTACCACGTGTACTCCTTCCGGAGCTTCCGCCAGGTGAGCCTCTGTGAAACTGGCTTCTGGTCCTAGAGGGCCCTCCCCTGTCTGCAGCAGCAGAACACGCTTAGAGATGAGGCTAGAGGCTCAGGGTGGTGTGGGAATTTCTGGGCCATGGTGGAGTACTGTTGAAATCCTTCTGGGGTCATGGCCTGATCTCAGGATAAGGGCATCTGACAGACCCTTTGGGCCCTCTGCCTGCTGCTTGCCTTTGGGGCAGTTGACTCTTTGGTGTCTGCTCATCCCACCCCCAGATTGGGATTCTGAAGCCACATCCAGCCTTCATGCAGCTGCTGGAAACTGCGGCCGAGCGCACAATGACCTTTGAGGCTGCTGAAGTGCCCATGCTGTGCCCGCCACTGCCCTGGACTTCACCACACTCGGGTGCCTTCCTGCTGAGCCCCACAAAGCTGATGCGCTCCGTGGAGGGCACCACACAGCACCAGCGCCTGCTGGAGAGCTGTCCACCCACTGAGCTGCATGGTGCCCTGGATGCCCTCACGCAGCTGGGCAACTGCGCCTGGCGTGTCAATGGGCGTGTGCTGGACCTGGTGCTGACCCTCTTCAACGCCAAGGGCTGCCCCCAGTTGGGTGTGCCGGCCCCTGCCTCTGAGGCTCCCCGCCCACCCCAGTGCCGCCTGCCAACCAGTGCCTCACCAGAGCGCAAGGCTGAGCTGCGACGGGAGCTGGCCCGCTGCCTGAAGGTGGCGAGGGAGATGCACAGTCTTCGGACTGATGCACTCTACCGCCTCTCATTGGCACAGCACCTGCGGCACCGTATCTTCTGGCTGCCTCACAACATGGACTTCCGAGGACGCACCTACCCCTGCCCGCCCCACTTCAACCACCTGGGCAGTGACCTGGCACGTGCCTTGCTAGAGTTTGCCCAGGGCCGACCACTTGGCCCCCATGGCCTTGACTGGCTCAAGATCCACTTGGTCAACCTGACTGGGCTCAAGAAGCGTGAGTCACTGCAGGCACGCTTGGCCTTTGCTGACGAGGTGATGAAGGACATCCTGGACTCCGCCGACCAGCCCATGATGGTAGGGGCGGCCAGGGCCCTTTTTCCTTTCTCTTTGTCTCCTGGCCTGTCCTCCACTCTGGCTCCAGCCACCTCAGCACCCATCTGGGATGCCCTGTAGACATCCCTGTCTCTAAGCCAAAATCAATAACCCCAGTCCCCCAAGTCTTCCCCTTAGGACACATTTTTTACTCGTCTTTTCCTCTGCCCCAGTCCATCAGCAGCTGTGCCACCTCCCACTCCAGGTTAGCTCTCTTTCCATCCCCATTCTGTGACTGCTTACTCAGGGCTGGGCCCAGTCTCCCTCCCTGGTCTATCGCTCCTGTTCTCACTCTACTGTCCCAGGGGCTCTGTCTCAGCCTCCTTGTGTCCTCGTAGTGCCTGGGCCAGCCCAGCTTCCATCCATGCTCAGGAAGCCCTGGCCCACTGACCCTGGCCCAGCCTCACCCAGCACACTGCCCTCCTGCAGGGCCGGAAGTGGTGGATGGAGGCAGACGAGCCCTGGCAAGCCCTGGCCTGCTGCATGGAGATTGCTCAGGCTGTGCGTGCCCCCAACCCTGCCGCTTACGTCTCCCATTTCCCTGTTCACCAGGTGAGTTGGGGACCATGGTGTGGAGTGGGGCTATCCAAAGTTGTCTTGAGTCTGAGGTTCCACAGGACAGTGTGGGTGTCTAGCTGGTGTCTTTGTGTGGGGGCCAGCCCCAGTGGATCCAGCTGGCCTTGTACTGAGACCTTATGTGCCTCAGTTTCCTTTTTGTGGTGGGGTAACAACACCTGCCTCTATGCATTGGAGTCCAGCAAGCTCGCGATATGAACAGAGTGCTGGGAAGCACAGAGCTGTGACTCATTGCCAGGGACACTCCCACCAGCCCTGCCAAGACTCCTACCATCTCCTCCTTGGCCCAGGATGGCTCCTGTAATGGCCTGCAACACTATGCTGCTCTGGGTCGGGACAGCGTGGGAGCTGCCTCTGTCAACCTGGTGCCCTCAGATGTGCCGCAGGACGTGTACAGCAGCGTAGCAGCACAAGTAGGCACCATGGCCCCCTAACCTGTTTTCATTCCCAAAGCCCACCTAGGGTCTCTGTCCTATGAATATCTGTGTGTTGTGGACCCCATGGCCATGGCTTCTCCAGTCATATATAATGTGACAGGGTAGTCAAGGTGGGCTTCCCAGGGGAGGTGTTAGAAGGGGGAACTGTGAGGCCAATGGAGAAGGGGCTTCGTGGGGGTGCTGTTGGGTAGGGTGGGTGCTGTTGGGTAGGGTGGGCCCAGATAAGGGGGCAGAGGGTCCTTCGGCCTGCCTGCTGACCACCAGCGCCTGCCTAGGTGGAGGTGTTCCGAAAGCAGGATGCTGAGCGGGGTGTGCAGGTGGCCCAGGTTTTGGAGGGCTTCATCAGCCGCAAGGTGGTCAAGCAGACGGTGATGACTGTGGTGTATGGGGTCACCCGCTATGGCGGCCGCCTGCAGATTGAGAAGCGCCTCCGGGAGCTCAGCAGCTTTCCTCAGGTGTGCATTTTCACCCCAAATCCAGCCTGCAGCTTCCCCTGAATTGGCTGCTGGGCAGCAGGCAGCTCTGAGAGAGGGACTTGTTTCCGCCCCCACTGTGGGGTTGAGGGGGTGCAGAGGGAGGAACCCATAGCAGCTAGCTATCTCCTTGGGCCCCTGGGCCTTGGTTTCTCCACCAGAAAAATGGGGGAATGGACTTCAGGAATCTGAGCCAGCCCTATTAGGTCTTCTGGTCCTGGGTTGTGGGTTTGGTCATGGAGGCTGCCCCTCCCCTCTAAGCTTGCCCCGCCATTTCTGTGCCTGCCCATCCCCAGGAGTTTGTGTGGCAGGCCTCTCATTACCTTGTGCGCCAGGTGTTCAACAGTCTTCAGGAGATGTTCTCGGGCACCCGGGCTATCCAGGTGAGTCCTCCGTCCTCCTCCCTTCCCCAGCAGGGCTTCTGAGACTGGGCCCTACCCTGAGCCTGTCCCCATCCCTGCAGCGCTGGCTGGCCGAGAGCGCCCGACTCATTGCTCGAACTGGCTTGGCTGTGGAGTGGGTCACACCCCTGGGCATCCCCATCATCCAGCCCTACCACCATGACTCCAAGGTGTCGGTATGTGCTGCCCCCACCTCCATGCTCACCCCCATCCCAGTGCCAGGGTAGGCCTTATACCCCATTCCCCTCCCACCCCAACCCTACAGATCAACGGAGGGATCCAGAGCCTCACCTTCAGCAACAATGGGGACACCAGCCAGTGAGTGCAGGGGAGGGGTGGGTAGCTGGACTGAGAAACAGCTGGGTGAGGACTGAGGGGGCTGCTGGGCCAGGGGATGCCACTTAGGTCAGGCCAGGATAGAGGTACCAGGTTCTCTGAGTGTACTCCACCCCCACACACAGGAAGCCCAACACACTGAAGCAGAAGAATGGCTTCCCACCCAACTTCATCCACTCCCTGGACTCCTCACACATGATGCTTACAGCCCTACACTGCTACAGGTAGGCCCTGCATCTGTATGGTACACATTCATTAACCACTTGCAGGCAGGCCCAGTGCTGTAGACATGGTGGGGACCCTCATAGTGCAGGAGATAGGTTGTAATGCCAATTCCTACGGGTGGGGTTTGGGGCAGAGACCTACAGCAGGCAGGGAACCCAGTCTGTTGGACCTGATACCCAGAAGATAACTGTGTAAACACATGCAATGGCCCTGGGTCAGCAAGGTCTGAGTGATGAGAAAGTGCTGGGCCATGGAGGGAAGGAGTCGTTCCTCTGAGTGTAAAGCTGGCCCTGGAGCGCCCCTGTGACTGCATCCATCCAGAAGAGTGCAGGCACACACTGCATGACCAGTTCTGGGGGGCTTGGACGTTGTCCTGTCAGATGTATGGGCCTTGGGGCAGCTGGCAGAACCCTCTGGTTTGCTGTAATGAGCCCCTCAGAGGCAGTGAGCTTGGGGTGGTGGGGCAGGTGTGTGGATAGTTCTGATAGACATGACCATTAATACCCTGGATGGTGTGGCTCAGTTGGTTGGAGCATTGTTCTGTGCACATATCTGGGTTGTGGGTTTGATTCCTGGTCAGGGCACATGTGAGAGGCAACTGATCAGTGTTTCTCTCTCTCACCAATGTTTCTCTCCCCCCACTTCCTCCCTCTTTAAAATTAAAAGAAGAAAGAAGAGATGACCATTAACATGGGGGCTTGGCTGGATTGAGCTGAGGGGTCAGGGGTGAATTCTGTGCTCCCATCTGCTTAGTGTGCATGGCATGGGGACTCCTAGGACAAAGCCCTGTGGTTGGTGGTGGGGGTGGGGGACAGCATTTGCTGGCCCCTACAGGGAGCTGAGAATCAACCAGGCAGCAATTGGGAGCAGGGTGGAGAGGACATGGAGAATTTCATTCTAAGTTGAGAACTTTTTATCCGTACACTGAGGGGACAATTGCTGAGCGTGCAGAGATGGGGGGCATGAGGAGAGAGGAGGGTGTACATCACTGGACTCAGCCCCCCAGCCCAGTGGTTGAGCTGGGCCCTGAGTGGACTGAGAGGGCTGGCCCCTCCTCATGGGAACCCCTCCTCTGCTACAGGAAGGGCCTGACCTTTGTCTCCGTGCACGACTGTTTTTGGACCCATGCAGCTGATGTCCCCATCATGAATCAGGTACCCTCTACTCCCCTTCCCCTCCAAGAGTGGACACCTCTGGTCCCATGGTTCTCTCCATGTAGGAGCTTAAACCCCTAACCTCAGTCTGGGTTTTGGTCCCAGTGCTCTTATAGGTGTTGGGGCAGGAGGTGGTAACTCCACCTCTCAGCCCCTTGTTCCCAACTCATGACATCCCCTCTCCCCCAAGGTGTGCCGTGAGCAGTTCATCCGCCTGCACAGCCAACCCATCCTGCACGACCTGTCCCGGTTTCTGGTGGAACGGTTCTGCTCTGGCCCCAAGTGAGACACCCTACCCTCAGTGTAGTTTCTGCTACCTGGTCCTCATCCATCCTGGGCCTCACTCTCTACCCTGCTCTCTCCAATTCAGGTCCACGAATGTTCGAGTCACCAGGTTGCTGGACATGCTACTGTCAGTACCCAAAACAGGTAAGGCCATGGGCAGGGGAGGGGTGTCCTAATTGCCAGCTGGGGGCTGGGCTTTCTCAGAGCCCCGCCCACATCAGGACCAGGGTTCATGGTCTTGCTGCTCTGTTCCACAGGGACCTTCAACCTGGAGCAGGTAAAGCACTCAACATACTTCTTCAGCTGACGCAGACCTGCTGGGCTGTCCCGGGGGCCCTCTGTACCATAGTGTAAATAAAGCTCTGTTGCCACTCAGGGGAGCGCTGCCTTCTGCGGGTAGAGGGTGCATACCACCCTGCAGTATGGGAGCTCCCAGCAAGCAGATGCGGGCAGGCTGGGAGCCAATGCTGTCGTTTATTGCGCGGAATGGGGGTGTGGAGATTAGGGGCGTGGGAGGCGTGGTGGGAATATTTCTGTCTCGGCTAGTCGGTACATTCATCACGAAGGCGGGGAATCCCCAGCCTTGCCCCCACACCCAGGCACAGCCAGGACTGCCGGTCCCTGGGCACCAGGCTCTGGAGGGTGCTGCGTGTGCCCGCTCCAGGAAGGTCACCGCGGGGGCGCGCATGGATGGGGGCGGGGCTGGTTATTGCGTGAGTGCGATGGGGGCAGCAGGGAAGCCGGCAGGCCAAGTATTGCACTTAAACAGAATCCTCATCGGACGGCGGGCCAGCTACATGGGTAGGGGTGGGTGGAAGTCCACAGCCATCTCCTTTAGGCCATGGGGTGGCTCCCTCCCTGTTTCACAGTTGGGGGAACTGAGGCACCGAGGTGAAGGGAGCCCCCTCGCATGCTCGTGAGGCCACCGCCGGGGGTGGGGGATGTGGGGGACTGGGGCAATGTGGGTGGGCGCAGGGTGATGGGGGGGACGACAAGGGCCCATCCGTCCAACTACAACTACCTACGTCTCCTCTATGGCTTCTGGGGTGGGCGGCCGGGGCAGTGCGCAATGGCATGGCTTTGGTTTGGATGAAGGCCCCGCCCCTGGCCCACCAGGGTCGGCGGGGCGGTGCAGCGAGGGTCACAAGTTGGAGGAGAGGCGCGAGCGCGCTGAGTCCAGCAGGTCGAGGCCTCCGGTGGCACTAGGCAAGGCCGAGTCCCTGCGGTCCGGGCTGGGCCCGGCGGCCCGGGTGATGGACGTGGGCCCCAAGCGCGGTGTGGAACTGCTGGCTGGACGCGCAGAGGCTGCGGGGCCAGGGCCGGGAGCGCCATGGGGCAGCGAGGGCTGTGAGGCAGACAGTGGACGCGAGGCGCGGCTCAGGCGGCGCGCTGGAAGTGCGGGCCCAGCGCGGGGCGCAGCAGCTGGAGAGCACGGTGCGCCGCCATAGGGCGAAGTCCGTGGTGCCCGGGGACTGGCAGGTGCGCCCGGGGGACTGGCAGCGGGCGCGGGCCCCGGCGAGGCAGTGGCAGCGGGCATGGGCCCCAGGGGTAGGCGCCGCACAAGGCGGGGCGAGCCAAGTGCCAGTGGCCCCACGAGTGGGCGTGCCACCTGCGGGCAGAAGCTCATGGCCACAGCCTGCTGCAGCGTGGCAATGGCCGAGGTGACCTGCGGTGGTGGAGGTGGTGGGAAGAGGCCTACACGCTGGCCCAGCTCAGCCTGCTGCACCATCTCCCGGTCATACTTGACGATCTCCTGGATGATAGCATTCTCCTGGTTGTTGAACACGCCCGAGTTGAGGTCGTGTTGCACCTTATGCAGCAGGATCGAGTTCTTCTTGCCTGGGGACAGAGGAGGTATTAGTGCACAGGGGAACGCATTCTGCATACAGTGAGTGGGTATCCAGTAGGCATACCACTGAATGTGCTGAGCACCTCCTGCATACAACAGCCAGGTATTGGGCACCAACACTACAACCATTAGGCACAAAACACCTGCATACAGCAAGCAGGTAAGGCACCTACTCTTTACAGGCAATACCCATACACCTGTGTGTACTGCATGTCTCTTGCATATAGCTAACAAGTATCCTCACCTGTTCTCTATAGCCTGTACTGTACATACACAGATGTATAGTGAATGCCTCATATACACCAAGCATGTACTGGGTACCTAGTCTCTATACCTGTATGCAAAACATACCTCCTATATACCACAAGCAGTACTGAGCACCTTCTGCATACAGTGATAAGAATCCAGTAGGCATACAGCTCTGTGTATTGTGTGCCCCCTATATATAGAGGGATGGTATCTAGTGTCTGCTGTACGTGGGAGGCAAAATATTGAGAACCTCTGTATATTGTAGGTATGCATGATTTATATACAATAAGCAGGAATCATACACCTGTCATGTGTAGCAGGCACAGAGCATCGGCTGCATACATAAAGCAGGTATGAGACATCTATGTATACTGCCAGCGTACATGGAGCATTTCCTGTATATAGCAGTCATATATTGAATACCTGCAGTATACAGCAACACCACCTGCCTGTTCACAGCCAGAGTGCCAAGTGTGGAACACATATAGCAAGCAAATATTGAGTGCCTGCTGTATAGGTCAATAAGTCCAAGCACCTGTCACTCACAAATATGTCGAATACCTACTATATAGAGCAAATTGTTGAGTGCCTTTTGTATATAAACATGTATTGAACACTTCCGGTATACAGGGAAGTCCTCTAACCCCTCTCTGCCCCACCAGTCCTGCTTTTACCGCCATTGTCTTTATTCCCACAAACCAACAAGGGCCACCATCTCCCTGCCTCCTAACTCTAGTTGTCAGCAAGTCCTGAGGGCTCTACTTCCCAGCCATTCCTGAGATTCCCTCTACCTCTCCCTATACCTCCTGTATACCCTTATAGAATACAAATCTGATCAGGTCCTCCCCTGCCTTGAATCATCTGTGTCTCCCTATTGCTCCCGATTTACAGTCCAAATGCCTCCCCCCACAGCCTAGGCCCTGTTATGTCTGGGTTCTTGCCTACCTCCCCAGCCTCCCTCCTCTCAGCTTCCCCAGCTTTCTTGACTCCAGGTTTATTCCCCTCAGAGCCCTTGCACATGCTGTATCCATGTGCAAAGAACACGCGTTCTCATCCTGGCAATACCTAGTAATCCTGGTCTCCACTTAGCATCACCAGGAAGCCCCACCACTCCCACATGCCCTCTATGATGTGAGCTTCCTAAGGGCAACGCTCAAGGCACCCTCATGGCCCACAGGCTACACCTGGCACATGGTAGGTGCTCAGCAAGTGTGGGTCAGCTAGGCCACGCCACCTCTCATCTTGGCACAATTTCCCCTATGACCACAGAGGGCTGAGCCAGGCCCACTCACCAATGCGGTCCAGGCGGTCAATGGCGACAGTCTCAAAAGCCCGCCGCATCATGGGGTACTCCTCCAGCACTTCATTGAAGTTGTCCACACTCAGCGAGTAAAGGCGGCAATAGGTGTCAGCCCGCACACTTGCTGTGCGCCGGCCCCGCGTTAGCAGACAGATCTCTGTGTGGTCAAGGGAGGCACCTCAGTGGCTGGGCAAAACCCAGCTGCCACCCATTCATCATTGGGGTGCTCCCAGCTGCCATGAGCAATGGTCCAGCCCACACCTTTGCTAGTGTGGCCCTTCTATCCAGAGACCCTTCCTGCCAGCACCACAGTGGTCTCCCCACCTTCCCCTCCATCCCCAGGAAGGGCCCAACTTTGTATTGCCTGTCCCCTGGTTCCTGCAGACACTAACCCCCAAAATATGAGCCATCGGATAGCTTCATTTCCTTGTTGCCCTTGGTGAGCACACTGACCACGCCGTGCTGTATGAAGTACATCTTCTTGCCAATGGTGCCCTCACGGATGATGTAGTCACCTGGCTGGAAGACCTCAAATTTGAGTTTGGTCAGCATGGCTGTGACAAAGTTGGGGTCAGCATTGGCAAACAGTGGCATCGAGGCCACCAGCTTCCGGCAGTTGAAGTTCACAATCTCCTGTAGGGGCAGGAGGCAGGGTTGACATCAAGGCAGAGATTGAGCTCTTGCTTCCACCTCACCCTACCTTTTGGTATTTGTTTCACCTTTCAGACCCTCAGTTTCTTCATCTGCGAAAGGGGTTTAACACTTTATCCTGAAAGCCAGCTTTTTACTTAATGGACAAACACTAGAGGGCTTGCCACCAAAGACCAGAGCAAGAAAAGATGTGCACTGATTCCTACTATTTAACACTGCATTGGCAATGCTGGTCAATGCCATTATACAAGAAAAAAGCAATTTCAGACATAAGAATTAGAAAGGGAAAATTAAAACTATGTTTATTATCTCCTTTATTGTGACTACCTGGGAAACCCCTCAGGAATCAATGGAAAGACAACAATAGGGGAGTTAGTCATTCTAGCAAGTGATTAAAAAAATCAACATAGCCCTGGCCGTTTTGGCTCAGCAGTTAGAGCGTCGACCTGCGGTCCAGAGAGACCCAGGTTCAGTTCCCGCTAAGGGCGCGTACCTCGGTTGCAGTTTGTCCCCGGCCCTGGTTGGGTTGTGCGGGTGGCAGCCACTCAATGTGTCCCTTTCACGTCGATGTTTCTCTCTCTCTCTCTGTTCCACTCTCTCCCTCCCACTCTATCTGAACAAAAAATGGAAAAATGTCCTCGGGTGAGGATTAAAACAAAAAAAAATCAACATAAAAACTAAGAACATTAAAATAAACCAATGTGGCAGAAGTTAGGTTGACAGTTAACCTTGGGGAAAAAGCTTCTGGGGGACTGAAATGTTTCATGTTTGAGCTGGATGATACATGGTGATTTCACTTTTCAGAACATTGAGCATGCCCTTATGATATGAGTTTCCTGTAAGATGCATTTCAATAAAAAGGAAAGCTCACCTTAGAAAGAAATCAATAGCTGTTGCCCTGGCCATTTTGGCTCAGCGGTTAGAGTGCTGGCCCATGGACCAAAAAGTTGGTGGGTTTGATTCTGGTCAAGGGCACGTACCTCGATTGTATTTGTCCCCAGCCCTGGTCAGGGTTGTGTGGGAGGCAACCAATTGATGTGTCTCTCTCACATCGATGTTTCTCTTTCTGCCCTTCCCATTCTACCTGAAGATAAATGGGAAAATATCCTTGGGTAGGGATTAAAAAAAAGAAGGAATCAATAGCTTTTATATACTGTACAAACAGTAACTCCTCAGTGGAAGGTATAATGGATGAGCCCTGGCTGGGTAGCTCAGCCAGGTTAGAGTGTCGTCCCAATATACCAAGATTGCAGGTTTGATCTCCAGTCAGGGCACATACAAGAGTCAACCAATGAATGCATAAATAAGTGAAACAAGAAA